CTCATAGTATTGGCAATCAACCTTCCCCTCCTGTCCTCCTTTTCATGGAACCAGATTGCCGATTTCCCATTCAAATCACCCGCAATGACCAGCCTTCTGTTATCTATTTTTCTAATCACCTCAGCTAGTTCCGTTATGCAATCGTCGTCGTTGTCTTCCGGAGAAAAGTATGCACTGATAAAAATTATAGGATTAGCTTGGTGTAGTATAGCGGTAGTAATCCTGCTCGAGCTTAGATGAGGGATCATTGCTATGTCTAGATTTGGGTTGCAGACAACGATGCCGCTTTTCGGCTTAGTATCTTTGCCGCCCGTAAGAATGTTCCAGTTCCCGAAACGTATGATAGTATTTTTAATTACGTACGGCTCTTGGATGAGAACCATGTCAATCTTCCTGTCATTCGCAGTTTTAATAAGAAGAGAGCTGGCCGCCTTGCTGTGTTGGGTATTTATCTGTAGAATGTTCAGCAGAGCCTCTGTGCGGACAGGTGAGGGATAGGTAGCTTGACTGTTGGGTGTACTTGAGGTTAGCGAGTTGTAAAGATCAATATCCATAATCGGTGGTGTTTATCGATTGTTCCTTTAGTTTTAATAAGGTCGGACATGTGCTGCTTAATGCGTTATGATGTATATGCCTCTTTTTATGTTCAGGCTGCCCGTGATTAAATTTCTTACAGTTTATGCATACAGGAGTTTTGTGTGTAGATTCACAGTCCTTAAAGCGATGTTGTCTAGCGCAGTGACTGCATCTCTGCTCTTGTGAGCAGTCACGTGCCAGATGCCCGAAACCAGTGCATTTGAAGCACCTGGTCACGGATATAAAATCGTCCACGTAAATATTCGTCGAGGCAATAGAGATATGTCGTTTCGAGATGAGCGTGTTCTGGGTTTTTGCTGACACGGATAGCACCACGTGTCTACAGTTCTCTTTGTTATTTCCTTTTTTTAGTGTGACACTCACCCTGCTAGTGTTCTGTACTTCCTCTATTTCGGCGTTGTTCCATATTTTATTTTGTTCAGTCATCACCCGGATGATGTCATCGTCAGATACAGTGTTAGGGACGTCGAGTAAGATGACGCGGGGTCTCCTACCCTCTGACATTTTACAAATTATTTTTCCGCTCATTCCTGGGAGTGCCTCAATGGCCTCTTTTAGTTTTTTCCCGTCTGTCTCGTCTCCCACTCTGATGCAAACTCCTTCCGCTTTCACCTTCCTGATCCCCTTAACTGCTATGTGCAGTTGTTGTGGTTGGATGTTTTCACGAATTTCTTTCGTAACTTCTTCCATGTCAGTTTTTTCTCCCTCCTTATTCTCTTTAGGATAAAGGATAACCGCCTGGCTGCCGCTCGTTCCTTCTCTATTTAGTTTCCTGTCTAGAGTCTGATTTATGACTCTGGTTATGTTACTGGGCCGTATATTAATATTTTTACTCGCTACGTGAGCATAGGAGAGTGGTGCTTTGCCACCATCGTCTTGCCTGGAAACTGGTTTCTGGTGCGCGCGCAATTCGCGAAGAATCCCAAATAGCTGACTCACACAGGAGTGCAGCTGCAGGACCCGTTCCCTGGCTTCCTTTCTTTCCAAACTTTTGATGTTGATGTTGCAAGATTCTGGGATGAGATTCATAATCCTATGGAGTTGAGATCCCGCTTCTTTGAGGATTGATAGTTCAAGCGAATCACTGGGATCGGCTGAGTTGGAGGGTATAATTTCCTCCACTGGGTCCAAATCGGGTGCCAACAAGGAATTGGTAGTCTCCATCGATGAAATCCGTAAACAATTATGACAAAAATAACAATTTAATCGAAGAATCACACTTAATAAAGCGTGCGATAACTGGGCGAGGAACGAAACTACTATCGAGTGAAATGAGATCAGATAGAATGGCCGTTAAACCACGTGCCGAAAACAAAGGCCTTTGTTCTCGGTGAAATTTAAAACCAAGATATCTCGAAAAATAATCAAAGAGAATATGTTAAATTAAAAAATTGAACTTAGTCCAAGGTAGTCCGTAAAATACTCAAGAATGGATCCCGATGGCCTAATATAACAGCCAAAAAACCGGCCGAAAGCTGGTCGGGAAAACTCGTAATACAAAATAATTAATTATCCAAGCCGACATATAAACCTAATTACCGGCCGAATTATAAACCTTACGGACTGTCGATTAATGCTAAATGAAATGAAATACAAAACAAGTGACAAAAGTCAACTAGCAACGCAAAAACACTCAAAAAACTGGTCACTTGGTAAAAACCATAAAAACCGATAATCACAAGACTCGAAAATTAAAAAACGATAGCGAACAAATTCGCCAGTCAACCCCTATAGAAAAAACCAAATAAAACTTACGTCTAATACGTAGAATTGTCGAAACAGCGAACAAAAGACGGAGCGAATGAAGACACGTCCATCCCCTAAGAACACTGGAGGTATCTCTTATTCATCCATTAATAAAAAGTTTTAAGGTGTAAAAAAATGTTTTGTTAGCATTCCATAATAATTCAGTAGTTTATTTGAGAACTTTGATGTATTGGGCTGGTTGTTGTTTATACATATACACACACACATCAAGCCAGGATAAAGCATAAGTTGGCTAAGTAATCTGTATTATTAAATTACTTAAGTAATTAATACTCTGGTAACCAGTTACACTACTCGGATCTCTGTCTGTGTAATGTTAATTGGCAATGCAACTTCACAGCAAGCAGGAGTCTCATGCCAGACCAATATTTTCTTCTAGAATATTATAAATTAAAATTAATTTATTTATAATTATTAAATTTACCATATAAACACTAACCAAAATCCAATGTATAGCAAATAGACATCCACAATGTTATAATTTTCTTCCAGTTTAATCTAAATTATTTAATTAAATATTATAATTATTAATTTTAATACGAGATGGCACCTAACGTTTCCCTTTAGTGTCAAATTCATGTGTAATTCAGAATCATTATTTCCAATATTTAGCCCAATTATTTACAGCAGTTGTGGATGTCTATTTAAATTTACCATGGTACAGAAGTGTAACTGCCTAACTTTAGCCAAATTAATTAATATTTAATTATGTACTAGCTTTATAATACTCAATAATAATTCAGCAATTCATTTGGTAACCATTTTATGGTGTTAAAGTAGTTACTATGATTTTTGGTATTAATTATTTATGCAAAACAAGAAAATATAGCACAATTTTGGTAAGCCAATCATTTGCTAATTCAACACATTCAGTAATCTGACACTGATCATCTCTTGGGTATTGCCAACACTGTTGCCATGTTATAGACAAGCTTTCCACTAATTCAAACTCAAGTTTCCAGTTAAACTTCTTTATAAACTTGACACAATCAGGACATTCTAATTTTCAACGCTGACTAAGTGCTAATCTTGGTGTTCGTTAAAATTCATTCCTTTTTTTAACATTGAAGTGGCACTGTTGTCAATGCTGACTCAACACACTTAGCACTCAACAGATATGTTGACTGTTACTTTCCAATGAATTGTGGGTAATTGGTAAGACATTTGAATGGAATCCATCTTGCTGAGAATGGAATTATGGGAACTAAGCACTTCGTACTCAAAGTTGGAACGTCGTCGATGATGTCAAATTATTGATTTCACTCATGTTGAAAACTGGAATGTCCCAAATAATCAAGCCCCATCTTGAACACTTGAGCTTGGGCATGATATTAAAGATTGTTAAGCTCGTCATCTTAAGCTGCTCAAAAAAGTAGAGTACTATATAACAAAATATTATGTAAGTAAAATCAGTTCCTAAAGTTTCCACCAAAAGTACTGTACTTTTCACTATACTAATATTTCTCAATAAATTTTGTGACAGTCCATCAACTTGTCAACATTGATTACTTGTAACAGCACTGTGCTTGAATGTATTGACCAGTAGCCCAACTTGTGTTTTGCTACATCATTAACAGTTGACATTTTGTTGTCAAATTTGTTTCTGTGCCATTGAATTTGTATTACTTCCAATAATCTGACAATCTCTATAATCCAACACACTTCCGGTTCCATACATGTAGGATCATTGCGATTGTACTGTCATTAAATTAGATTTTTACAATAAAATTGTTTTGTTTATTAAAGGATATATTGTTTTACTTTTCTATCATATTTCATATTATTTTGATCAAGAGAACAATATTGATCAACAGAATAGACTAACATAATAGTTATTTTTTATTTTTCATACCAGTGTATTTTTAAGTTTCAAGTATATTCTATCTTTAATTAATATATAAATAATCAATTATTTGATTTTTTTAAAATGATTAATTTGTTTACTATTGAAATTTAAAAAATTGAATGTTGTTTTCTGCAGGTCAATACAACTACAAAAGCAAATGAAACCAGATTTACAGGATATACTTGTGAATTGTGCTAGACTATGCATGTAGGTCTTACATTTATTAAAATTTTATGCAACATATTTCCAAACTGATTGAATTTAATTCAAAATTGGAAATGTTTTTATAGTGTGAATAAGAAACCTGAAGAGGCCATTAAACACTTTTTAAAAATTGTCAAACATAATGAATTTTCACTTTGTAGTCTTGGTCTGGCTTATTATCACACTGGAAATTATGATAAATGTGATAAAGGTATGAAAAGTATCGTATTTTCATTATTAGTTATTAATTTGAATCATTAATTATAATTTTATTTTATATTTATTTTGGCTCTCTTCATGAAAGAATGCTTTGTCTTTATTTGTAAAATTTTATTATTAATCAGAAAATTCTGTTAGAAAAATTCTTTTAAACAAAATTTTAAAAAAGACTATATTATTATTATATTATATATATCGGGTGGCCAACTTTTGTGTACGTAAGAGCTACTTTTTATCTTAAAAATGTGTCGCAATCCACTTGTTGTCATAGGCATAGTCTAAGTGGCAAGGGAGAGGTGTGAAACACATACTATGTTTAGATAGCTAAGAAAAGCCACAACTGAATTTAAAACATGAAGAAAAGGTACTTACATTTTAAACAGAAGAAAAATTGAAACTCAACATTGTCACTTTCGGGGACCACCACTTCAGCCTTCCTCTATCATATTCCAACCTACTCTCCCTGTCCCTCTTCCTGCTTTTCTTTTTTTTCAGTTTTATGACCCTTTGTCTACATTTTTTATTCCCCTTTAACAACTGTATGCAAATGGATTGCACATGGACCAACAAAACCATATCTGAGGGAGGATGCAGAGGTCTGATATCACTACAGTTGCATTTGTGCATTACATTCACACATTGCATTCACTTTCAAGTGTAACACATTAAGTCAAGACGTTGCGAGCGATTGACCAAAATTGGCTTCGCAATTAACTTGTTGGCTACCCCTAATATATATGTATTAATTTTATATAAAATAATTAAACATTATTAGAATACTTTTAAATTAAAATATAGAAAAAAACAGTCTTCATAATTTCATTTTTTCACACCTCAGAAACAACAAAGTCACATTTAGACAAATTTTGAGAGCCAAGGCAGAGATGATCTTCCAACTAACTCTGCTGTGACTTTGTTATTCCCGAGGTATGAGAAAGGTAGAACTATGAAGCCACTGAAATTTCAGTGTTTTTTTTTTATAAATTTTAATTCAAAATTTAATTGTTATTCTGGTTTTTAATTTTTATTTCATTACACTGTTCTACAGAGATTTTTTTTTCTTAGATGAAAATAAGTGTTTCTGAGATATTTTGTTATAAAAATTCAAATTTTAAATCAGAATTTCAGTGTCAGGCAATGTTTTTAGTTATCTATATTGTGAGTAGCCAAGGACGTAGATCTTAGTCTACACCGCTTACGGGCTCTAGTCGGTAAGACCAGTCTCTGTCGTCCAAAGAATGGCCTTTCCCGTACATAGGGAAACGAGTGATGGAGGGTCTTATAGTTAAGTTAGAATTTAGGGCGGAAGTTGGTGATGGCGAATTCACCTGGTAAACTAGATAAACTGGTGTCGGTTTTATCTACTTAGCGTAACGCGGATAAACACGCGTGAAATTTATACCATAGATCTGATTCAGGAAATAATAATAAAGAGACATCTCTTAACAAAGTATATATATAAAATTTAATAAACAATTAAATAATATTGATACAAATAAGAAATGATCAAATAATCTAAGACAAACAATCAAAGAACGTAATAATCGAATCAATCGTGACAGGAGGATATCTATTCTTAGTCTATACCGGTGAGAGAGAGAGAGAGCTCACAATTTAGTCTTAAACATACGACCTGTTTACTTGGCAGTGACGTCTTCTTGTTCGTCGAGGTACTTCATAGATAACTTAGGAGTAACTTGTTCAGGGATGACGATGCATTGGTCTGCTGACATATCGGTGCGGAGTCCTTTCACTTTCTGATCTATGGACGAACTCTCAAAGGCGTTGGCCTTAGAGAACACTTCTGTGGAGTCATGTCACTTTCAGAACTGTCGACGAACTCTGAAGGGAGATGGCCTTAGCGAGCGAATATGTGGAGTCCTGACTCTTCCAGGTCTGCCGATGAACTCCTAAGGGCGGTGTGGAGCCAATATGGAGACTTCTTTCTACTATGAGATCTCCTGATGAACTCCCCAAATTCGGTTGAACATGCCATATATCTTCTCATCTACGATCAATTATCAGCCGAGGCTTTATCCACGTGAACGGATGGAAAGGGGATGAAATGAGGGGTAGACAGTTCCCATCGAAGCGAGATTTTTAGCAGATAAGGGGAAAGACAGAGGATGTTCTAACTTCCGTGGAAGGAAGTGACTCTCCTAGCTGTTTTCCCACGCTAGAAAACGTTATTTTTCCACCCAAAATGAAAGAATTTTTCATGACAAAACTTTAACATTATTTTTAAATTTTTAATTTAGACTCGGGCGATTCAGATCTCACACTATATATAACTCATTCAATGGGTGTCTGTCCCGTAACCGTTTGATAACGGACACTAGAGGCGCCCCTATCATGTATCATATTTCAAACATTTAAATTAACAATTTTAATTCTTATTTAAATTAACAATATAAATTTTTATTATTCATTTGCCAATAAATTATTATTTGGTCGATATAACAATATAAATAATTCAGTATATTTGTAATAGGAATTTATTATTTCAGGGGCTTATATCTCGCGAAGGGTCGCGAGTAGGGGTATGGTTCCTTTGACTGTATTGTTAGTACAGGGTCTACGGTTTGGGGAGCCGCCATCTCTTCATTCGGAGGGTAAATCTTACCATTCGGACTTTAACAGAGCTGTAGAGCATATTGATAGGAACAAAAAAGTCAAAGGAACCATGCCTCATGAAAATTTGTAAAGAATGCCCACTAGGGGGCGTCCCGAGCTACTAGTAAATATATAAAAGCCTCATTTTACTCAAATTCACAGTTTGTGACAAAGGCAAGAAATTTTCGGTAGAGTAGTTAGCAACATCAACTTCTGAGTAATGTATAAAGTCACCAACAATGCATCAAACCAACATATTCTGGAGTTGGCACACCTCCTTTGTTACCTTTTTTTTTCAATTCAACAATAATGTACAGTATATATATACAAAACCAAGGCATCCCTATGGGATGCACCCTATGATGACCTCTGTGAAATGGTCATACGTCATCTTGAAGACAAGGTCCTTCCAAGCATAATCACATATAAGAGATACATAAATGACATTTTTATCATGTGGTGGTTTAAATCTGATATAGGGGTCTTTTTAAAACACAGTATGAATGACAACCCATATGGACTGCTAATGGAGGCCACGTAAATGAGCAACACTGAGGTGCATTATTTAGATCTCAACATCAGAGTCATTGATAGCCACATAGAAACCAAAGTATGGTACAAACAAGATTACTGTCTATTGTACATTCCTGCAGATTCTAATAGCCCACATTATTATAAACTGTGGTGTTTATAGCCCTCGTGAGGACACATGGAACAAATAATGCCAATCACATTACACTTTACAGGCTTCCCCAGCACTAGTTTAATCAAAATAAACATTTTTGACACTATTCAGAGGTCTGATTCAGGTTTAAAGCATATTAAAATACAAATAAAAGAAAAGAACAGAATGTTAGAACTATGACTGCAATTTTTAAATTTACAAAATTCAAAAAACAAAAGATTTACGTATTTACTCTCACCTAAACATCAAATTTCCAGCAAAACACCCAAATTCCACATTCAAACATTTTTGGCCACTCGTTAATTGGCCTTCATCATTATACGTTGCTTAATATTCGTCACAGCCGATGTTCAAACCAATTTTTAAAAATTTTTAAAATTACGTGTACAATGCGGCAAAATTCTATAAATAGAACAGTTATTTTCATTTTGATTTTTCCTGATGAAGGCCGATTAACGAGTGGCTGAAAACATTTGAACGTTGAATTTGGGTGTTTTGCTGGAAATTTGATGTTTAGGTGAGAATATATATTGTTCCAGTTTATTTTGTGGTTTTTATTTATGTATTTTAAAAATAGAACTTTGAAAATTCATAAATCCTTTGTTTTTTGAATTTTATAAATTTAAAAATTGTAGTTGTGGTTCTACCATTACAACTCAGATCTCTTTAATTTGTATTTTAATATGTTTTAACCTGAGGCAGACCTCTGAATGGGGTCAAAAACATTTGTTCTGATTAAACCAGTGATGGAAAAGCATGTAAGGCATAATGTGATTGGTATATTTGTTTCCAGCTTTTCTATAAGTGTTTTCTGAACAAATAATGCAGATAGAAAAGCAAAGCTGACACATATTACAAATTAGTTCAGAAACTTTGTTTCCGTGGAAAAGTAGTTGAGGGCCAGGGCCTGGCTAGTAAATACCAATCCCAATGTAACAAGCCTTTCCATCCCAAATAACCAAAACACAAATAGCACTGAGCAAGGGTGTATTACCTGCCTATCAATCAGTTATGAACCCAATATACAGACAGATAGCTAGATGGCACATACTAGCATACAAACAGAATGCAGCCATCTATACAGTACTGAAAAAATGGAAAAGACCTTTTAAACACCCTGAGAGCTCCTTGGATATATTGTATGTGACCCCTAAGGAATCACAGGGTTGGGAGGACCAGGTATATGTTGGCTTCATCACTGGATATCTCTGAAACAGCAGATAAGGAAAGACAAATATGACATCAATAATGGAAAACTTGCCACTGCCCTGTTCACGTACGCCTCTGATAACAACATTGAGGCAAAATTACATCAAGCAAGGTTGATCCGTACGGCCAGGCACAGCAAACATATCCAAGATACGGAGGACATTTTTAAAGCTGACAAGAAGCGCATGTGCATCAACTATAAAGAGGAAAAACAAATTTCACACACTTAGCAAGAGATGTACAATCACGCGGATAAACACGCATGAAATTTATACCATAGATCTGATTCAGGAAATAATAATAAAGAGACATCTCTTAACAAAGTATATATATAAAATTTAATAAACAATTAAATAATATTGATACAAATAAGAAATGATCAAATAATCTAAGACAAACAATCAAAGAACGTAATAATCGAATCAATCGTGACAGGAGGATATCTATTCTTAGTCTATACCGGTGAGAGAGAGAGAGAGCTCACA